CGGCTTTTCAAGTTTCAATTTTTCGATTATTTAGTCAATTTTTCCATATTTTATTATTGGGATTTTTAAATTTTTCCATTCCTCAAATTTTCGGTTTATGGGTTTTAGTTAATTTTTCGATTTCTCAATTTTCCAGTGTTTCAGTTCTTCAATTTTTTGACTCTTCAATTTTTCGGTTTTTAAATTATTCAATTTATTAATTTTCAACGTTTATAAATTTTCAATTTTTCGATTTTCCAATTTATTTTCGGATTTTCCCATTTCTCGATTTCTCGACTTTTCAATGTTTTGATTTTTCATTTTTTCGGTTCTTCAATTTTTCATTTTTTAGGTCTTCAGTTGTTCAATTTTTGATTTTATTTTTTGATTTTTCAATTTTTCTGTGTTTCAGTTTTGGTATTTCTCAATTTTTCGGTTCTTAAATTTTTCCTCCATTTTTCAATCTTCCAATACATATTGCAGTTTTGGGATTTTCCAATATTTCGATTCCACAATTTTTCAGTTTCTCCATTTTTTACTTCTTCGATTTTTCAATTTTTCGATAATTAAATTTTTAGATTTTTCGATGTTTGGATTTCTCGATTTTTCGGTTTTACAATACATATTTTTATTTTTCAATTTTTAAAATTTTTAATGATTGGATTTCTCGATCTTTGGATTTTTTGATCTTTTAATATTGGTTTTTAAATTTTTAGATGTTTCAATTTCCTTATTTCTAGATTTATCGTTCTTTTGTTAATTTTAAATTTTTCAATTTTTCAGTCTTTACTGAATTTTGGCCTATTTCGATTTCTCAATTTTTCGATTTTCCACCTTTTCCATCTCGATCATTTGATTTTGATGTTTGAATTTCTCGATGTTTCAGTTTCTGAATATTTCAATGTTTCGTTTCTCGCCTTTCCGATTTTTCGGCTTTTCCAGTTTCAATTTTTCGATTATTTACTCAATTTTTCCATATTTTTTTTTCTGGTTTTCCTATTTCTCGATTTCTCGACGTTTTAATGTTTTGATTTTTCATTTTTTTCAGTTTAATTTTTCAATTTTTAGGTTTTCCATTTTTTCAATTTTTTGATTTTTCGTCTTTTCGATTTTTCAATTTTTCTGTGTATTAGTATTGGGATTTCCGTTCTTTTGTTTGTCTTCCATTTTTCAATTTTTCTATTTTACAATTTTGGGATTTTGCAATATTTCGATTCTTCAATTTTTTAATTTCTGGATTTTTTACTTTTTCGATTTTTCAATTTTTCGATATTTTGACGTTTGGATTTTTCGATTTTTAATTTTTTCTGTATTTAAAATTTTAGATTTTTTGATTTTTCGGCTTTTCAAGTTTCAATTTTTCGATTATTTACTCAATTTTTCCATATTTTATTATTGGAATTTTTAAATTTTTCAATTCTTCAAATTTTCTATTTATGGATTTGAGTTTATTTTTCGATTTCTCAATTTTCCAATGTTTCAATTCATCAGTTTTTTAATTTTTTGACTCTTCAGTTTTTCGGGTTTTAAATTATTCAATTTATTAATTTTCAATTTTTCGATTTTCCGATTGATTTTCGGATTTTCCCATTTCTCGATTTCCCGACTTGTGAATGTTTTGATTTTTCATTTTTTTAGTTCTTCAATTTTTCAATTTTCATATTTCCAATTTTTTGATTTTTCGACTTTTCAATTTTTCAATTTTCCTATGTCTCGATTTATCGAGATTTCGATGTTTCGACTTTTTGATAGTTTAATTTCTCGATTTTTCAATTTTCGGATTTCTCGATTCTTCTAATTTAAAATTTTTCAATTTTGGCCTATTTCCACGTCTCAATTTTTCGACTTCCGTCTTTTTGATTTCTCGATTTCTCGATCTTTTGATGTTTGGATTCCTCGATGTTTCAGTTTTTGAATATTTCGATATTTCGTTTCACGGTTTGTTGATTTTTCGGCTTATCGACTTTCAATTTTTCGATTATTTACTCAATTTTTCTATATTTTATTATTGGGATTTTTAAATTTTTCGATTCTTCAAATTTTCGATTTATGGATTTTAGTTCATTTTTCGATTTCTCAATTTTCCAATGTTTCAATTCATCAGTTTTTCAATTCTTTGGCTCTTCAATTTTTCGGATTTGAAATTATTCAATTTATTAATTTTACGTTTATAAGTTTTCAATTTTTCGATTTTCTTATTGATTTTCGGATTTTCCCATTTCTCAATTTCTCGACTTTCCAGGTTTCCAATTTTTTGATTTTACGACTTTTCGATTTTACAATTTTTGTCTGTTTTAGTATTGGGATTTTTAAATTTTTCGGTTCATAAATTTTTCCTTCATTTTTCAATTTTTCAGTATTGCAGTTTTGGGATTTTGCAATAGGCAATATTTCGATTCTTCAATTTTTCATTTTCCCGATTTTTTACTTTTTTGATTTTTCAATTTTTCGATATATAAATTTTTAGATTTTCCGATTTTTTGATGTTTGGAATTCTCGATTTTTCAGTTTTGCGATATTTTAATTTTTCAATTTTAAAATTTTTGGTTTTTCGATTTCCCAATTTTTTGATTTTTCAGTTCTTTGATTATTAAATTTTTCCAATTTTTAAATTTCAGGTTTTTCAAATTTTTGAAGTTTAGATTTCTCGATCTTTCAATTTTTCAATTTTGCGCTTTTTAAATTATCCAATTTATTAATTTTCAACATTTATACGAATAAATTTTCAATTTTTCGATTTTCCAGTTGATTTTCTGATTTTTCCATTTCTCGATTTCCCGACTTTTCAATGTTTTGATTTTTCATTTTTCAAGTTTTCAATTTATTCAATTTTTTGATTTTTCGACTTTTCGATTTCTCGATTTTTTTACTTTTTTGATTTTTCAGTTTTTCGATATTTAAATTTTCAGATTTTTCGATTTTTACTTCCCGAACGTATGCGACGGAATCATGGAATCCATTGGGCAGCTGGCTACTTTCTACTTTTACGTTTTCTCGACCTTTCATAACCCCCATAGTACGAAGAAATAGGTCTCCCGTTTCCGTCCGTCTGTCTGTCTGTCTGTCTGCCGTCCCGGATTTTTATTACACAGATAATCTCCGAAAGTACTGGACCGATTGTTGTCAAATTTTGTATTTATATTAAGAATATCATGTAGTTGGTAAAACGCTAACTAAAAATGTGATGACGACAAAATTATACATAGCAAATTGGCTTTAAATTGTATAAAATAACAGTCCTACACATGTAGTTTATGACTCTGTGTTGAGTTTTTATCCGAAACGTCCAGATTTTTGGGAAAAAAAAAATCAAATTTATAAAACAAAATGTATCTATTTATCAACCTCAAGATTTGGTTATACAAGTGACTCAAAAAAATTAAAGAATGAGTCAATTTATTTTATTGATTAAATCAGGAACGGCTCACTCTATTTTCCCAGAAAATTTTGGGAATACAAGATTGTTAGTTTTCAATTTTTATTTTACACTAATTGAGCTAAGTTAGTGAAATGGAAAGTGAAGGTGGGCGGGGCTAAATTTAGCTTTTTTCTAGTTTTATGACAAACAGTAGACTCGCCCACCCACCCTTTCTTCGTTCCAGTGACCACTCTTAATATTGTTTAGTCCTAGCTTAGCAAGTTTTAGCCCCGCCCACCCGCCCTCTATTTTCTTAGAGGGTATGTCATCTGCCAAAATCAGTCTTATCTTAGCCCCGCCCACACACGATGTTCTCATTTTGACGATTTTATCATTTATCTATCTTCATTTGAGATCCACCTTTCTTTCGGACTAGACAAAATGAATCAGTGAAATGGAGGCAGGGTGGGTGGGTGGGGTGAATATATGTTCTTTGTAAAGTGTGAATGGGAACTAATAGAACGTAGACTGTTAAAAAAAGCGTTGTAATTTTTTTGTTGTACTACATATTTGCTATAATATTTATTTCTGAACAAAAAAATGATAGAACAGGTTGGTGGGCGGCTATAAGTTAAATTGTTTCATATATTATCTTTTATAAGCAAGCAATAGTAACGCCCACCCACCGCTTCTTCATTCCAATTATTAGTTTTAATATTGTTGTCATTTTTTCTTTTTATTATAGATGGTAGAACTGGGGGAAACCATCAGTACTACATACAAGCTGTGATCAAATTTAATGTGGTTGGTTTTAAACATTTTCTGTGGTTTTGTTGGTGTATAATTTATTGTTAATAATATATTTTCAAGTGATTATTGGGTTTTACAGTGAAACAAAACACACTGTATAAGTGTGTAATAATAAAGTTTTCGGGTGCGTTTTGAATTTACATCGGTAATTTTGGCAATCTGTATATAAATCCGCAGACAAAAGAAAGTCGTTTTGTCGTTAACCACGAAATGTCAAAATACGTCAAGTCCGTGTCGCGTTAATAAATTTCAGTAAATTTGCGCAAATTTATAATTACCTGTGCCGAAATTAGCCCCTTGCACTTTCTAACTTTCAGCAACAAATAACTCAAACGTCAAATTTTGGAAATGTCAGTTACCCAATCAGTGTTGCCACACTAGCCAGGTGCCTTTTTCAAACCGGTAAGTAAAAAATCAAAAACTGCCGGCCATCCCAAACCACTTGTCCCGCCATCCACCACCTGCCCATGCCCCATCTGCCGTCCCATCGCCCGAAATAACCCAGCAAATGTCACATCGCCTTCCAAATCGAGAGCCGGTCTCATCCCACTCCCTCTGGCTCGTGGGTGTTTTTTTGGCAAAAAGCAGGGCCGTATTTCCATCATTCCATCATTAGCATAATTCAAGGCACTGCCGGTGCAGCTGTACCGAAACTTCGACCTTTCACCGGCAGCGGCCCAGCGATTTCGTCCCAGTGGTCCGGCCACAGGCGTCGAAAAATCAACCCATCACCTTTACCCCGTCGGGGCGCCTTATCACCTCTGTGCCTCTTATCTCCGATGAAAAAATCATGGAATTCCGTTGGCATTAGTGACAGTTATCGGCACGGTTTGTTTGGCTGGCTGCCCTGCTTCCCCCACCATGCCAGTATGCAGTATGGCGTCTCTCCCGTGGCAGTTGTGTTTTGGTGGTCGGAGAAAATCAGCCTTCCGTACTTAGTTCGGGTGGAAATCCGCCGAAATCCCGTTCCAGACGAGAATTTAGTTTAAGTGGATGTGAATGTGCACGTTTTCGGGTTGTTTGAGGATATTGTGTGTGTGAACAATATGTGCTTTTGACAGCCCGCTGCGTCCCTGGATTTCTCTACGAGTAGAAAGTATATCAGTCATTTTTAGAATAGGCCATTGTTTGCGACAGCAGTGTGCAATAATAACCCATTTTTGAATCGAGATGGGCGCCGGGGGGATAAGTCAAGCCCGCCAAAGGGCACACCCATCTGGACGTGTTGACAGGGTTTGGGGGCAGAGAGAGTGTGGTGACGCGATTTTCAATCATTTAGCACAATTTATACAAAAATCGACATTTTTGTACTTCATTGTTGCTCAATTACATCGAGATTAGCGATAGCTAAATGACTAACCCCGTTTTCCAATCACAAAGTTTTAGATTTTTGGTTAAGGACGAATTGCAAGTGTCTTTTTGTTTACAAGCAACTTTATCACGTGATCAGACTCAATATTTCGAGTGCTCAAGACAACAACTCAGGTTCAAGGATCTAGCTGTCAGTGTTTTTTAAGATAACGTATTGAGGGTGAAAGTTTGCCCACTCCGGCTAACATAGTTCAACAGTTTGGATAAAAAATGCGTGTGAATCCCTATGATTGTCGGTATTTTTTACAGCTATCAGTTGAATGGTTTTTAAATGACGGCGTCATCACATATTGTGACAGTTTGTACCGTAACAAACAAACCATGTTTAACACATATCTGCTAGAAGATTGTGGTTTTAGTATTACAGATGGGTTAATCAAAAACGAATAATCCACCCCAACCGCAATTTACATTTATGTTAAATTGATTAAATTGGCCGAACATGTTTATATTCGGAAAAATTTATCATCACTAGGAAATATCGAGAGTTTTTACATATTTTTGCATATGTATTATGTGATAAAGTCCAATTTTCGGTGGAGCGTGAAACAAGATGAAAGAAGAATAACAAACAAACATTTTCTGACATAATATCTAAAAATCCACCCAATTACATTTACATTAGACTCGCATTCTAATTGGCCGATCTGTTTTATCACTGTAGAGTTGGTATTCAGGTAAATGTGTAAATCATTATATAATATGTATAAATTAATTTCTGCATATGTATTATGTGGTAAGGTATTTTTCGTCTGTACTAAGAATTTAGTTATATAAAAAAAATTGCTCAATGCTACCGTCCTGTCGAAACTAGTAACCAGTCGAGTAGAATTTATTTTCAAAAGGAAAAATTGGAATTTCGTCGCATTGTCCATTACAATAACACCATGGTGTAAATTTGTAAAAATTCGAGATTTAGAACTGTGGGTTTAATTTTACAATAGCCATCTTAAAGAATACGGGAAACAATACTTTTGCGATAAGTTTTTTGTAGGCCATTTTTCAAAGGCGTTGGAGGTCGTCGTATCGTGCTCATCAATTGTTTCACACATGAAAGGTTATGATGACTTCATATTCTCCATATTGTTGAATACGAATTTTTTGTGGGTAATATTTCTTCCAGTAAAATATGTTTCCGGTTCCATGTGTGTGTCGTCTGTTGTATTCTGGATAAAGTTTTTTAATTTCTCTAAAATCCCAAGGGTACACTAACGTTGACAATTTTATTATATGTATTAAAATTACTAGGGAATTCTCTAATCGAAAGTATACAAAACTCACTTGACATACACCTTGTAAAACTTTTACGACTAAAATGTATAATATATTAAGGCTGCTACTACGTTGCGAGCGTGAAACATCCTTAAGCTCCTTCATAATCTACGTTGAAATGATTAAATAAAACCCCCGTTGAATAATAGTCGAAAAATTCACCAAACCACACTATTTTAAGATAACTGTATCAGTAGTTTCCAGAATAGCCCATTGTTTCACATCGTGTGTAACTCCAATAATAACTTAATCAATCCAAGGTCGGTGTTTAAGTAGGACTGCGGTGGGCAAAGGGCACACCCATTAGCTTTCGCAGTACCTTGGGACCACCTTTAAATAAAGCGCGTGTTCGATTTCGTTCAGCCCATCAGCTTGACCCCAAATTTCGTTTATTTACAAACGGATCAGAAATTCCGCACATTTTTCACTTAATTATCTCTTAATTATTGCCAGACTAAACTAGAGGAGCAACGACAGAGTTACGATGAGTAACCCAGTTTTTTAATTATGTTCGTGTTTATTATGAAGATCGTCAAAACAGTGGCGTTGAAAATGTTCAAGGGTTCAAAGATCTGGCGGGCGGTTTTTTGGGGTGACGTTGTATTATTGATAAATTATTCACGGGTGATTTATCCATTTGTGCGGAGATTATTTCATTGAGAAAAAATGTATAGATGTATTATTCATGTGAATCCCAAGAATCGCTATCAATTGATAAAGAATGACATCAGATACCGTAAGTGCGGGTCAATTTTCATTAAATTGGACATTTCCCAATTGGCAACAAGACTCAAATATGATACACGAAGTTTTCCATGAGTGTTTGTTAATTGAAATTAGTTGCATGCGATGACTGTGTTTATTTTCAAAGCTAATAAAACATTTTTTGAGGGGAAACGATGCAAAAATGCGCCTTTACATGCACTGGGTATTGATTAATTTCTTGCCTGCAATCACAAAAATAAAAATTATTACAGTTTGATGAATCATGAGTAATCTCAGATAAATGCGAGAGGCCAGATCAATACGGGATGCTCGTTGCAACCTTGGTGACGTCATCAGCTTGAGTCGTGACGTCAAGTGCATGTTTTTTAATGGAATGACGATTTACCTTACTCCTATTTTTTTAAATGATGCAGATTTGCTGTATTGTGGTCGAAAGTGTTCAATAATTCATTAGCGATTTAACCTATTTTTTAAAAAAGCGTGTCGTTCATTATTCACGTAAATCCCAATAATCGTTACTTTTTGCCGCAATCAGTGGAAAAGTGGATTTTAAACTGTCTGGGTCGTTAATTATATAACGAGATTAGATTCCGTAAGTCGGGGTTCGTTCGTCCAATTTGGTCATTTCTTCGGAAACTTTTTCTTTTGTTTTGTTTTATCTTTATCTGTATTTAAAATAACGTCGAATGTGTGATTATTTTGAAGCACGTACCACTCACTGAAACAATAGCCAATTACATTGATTGTAAAAAGCATGAAGTTTTTAAGAATTTTCCCAGAAAGTGTACAACAATGGTATTTTGAACGAGTTTATGTTGATTCGCGTGTTTATGTGTAGATTTAGATGCAATTTACAAGACCGGTTTTTTGTGTTGACGTCATCAATCTTCTGCGGTGGGTGAATGAACGAAATAATACTGAAATGACAAAATAATTCATAAAAAGTCAAACTTTTAATAAAATTCTATAAAATGTAAATATTTGTGTTTTACAAGGTTGTGTGGCATTATAGTCAATGTAATCGATTTTTTTGTGTCTTGTTTATTCACTCTATGTTGTTTTGGAGGTTATCAACCTTGAGTGGTGATTGATAACTTCGATGAAGTCGACAACATCGCGTTCTGGATAATGTCCAGTTTCACGTGGTGGGGATTAAAATAAAACAAGTGAAGGTCTTTTTATTCTGGTGTTACAAACATCGGCAATGACACTTTTATTAAATATAATACAAAAAGAAATCAAGTAATAAACAAAATTGTGGAATAAATAAAATAAAGAAAGATAAAAACAACCTTTTGAAAAATTCTTAAGAACAACAATATCGGGTATTTTTTTTGGTTTCTGATCTTGTTACCTGAGAATTTGTTGACAGTTAGATTATGTTATGTTAAAAAAGATTAAACCTTTGTTTAAAATGATTTATTTATGATAACATATTTAATTGGATTTACAATTGCTGGAAGTGTTGGTTGAAAATTCGAAAAATCAAAAAATGGAAAAATTGCAAACCATTGAGGAATCGCAAAATTAAAATTCGAGAAACAGAAAAATCGAAAATTTGAAAACACCAAAGAAAGAATCGAGAAACTGTAAAATTAAAAAAAAAGATTAAACGAAGATTTGAAAATTGTAAAGCGCAGAATTGAAAAATGGAAATATTGAAATTACAAAATATTAAAATATCCAAAAATGGCTAAATCTATAAATTAAAAATTGTGAAACTGAAAAATTGTAGAAATGAACAACTAAAGAGACAAAAAATTGTATAAACGAAAAATTAAAAGATCGAAAAATCGAAGAAACGAAATTGTGAAACCAAAAAATTGAAAATTCAAAAAATCAAAAAATGGAAAGATCGAGAAATCAAAATTCGGGAAACAGAAAAATCGAAAATTTGAAAACACCAAAAATTAAAATCGGTCTGTACAAATTGAAAAATCTAAAAATGGGGAAACGTAAAATCAAAAATTGAGAAACTGAAAAATTGAAAAATCTAAAAATTAGATAAATGAAAATTGAAGCAATGAAGAATTGTAGAAACGAAAAATCGATAAATAAATGATCGAGAAACTGTAAAATTGGAAAACAAAGATTAAACGAAAACTTGAAAAATCGAAAACTTGAACAAGCAAAAATTGAAGAGATGAAAATTGAAAATACGAAAAATTAAAACATCTAAAAATGGATAAATCAATAAATTAAAAATTGAGAAACTGAAAAATTTCGTCTGACGAAAAATTACAAATTGAAAAATTGAAAGATCGAAGAATTAAAATTCGAGAAACAGAAAAATCGAAAATTTGAAAACACCAAAGAAAGAATCGAGAAACTGTAAAATTAAAAAAAATGATTAAACGAAGATTTGAAAATTGTAAAGAGCAGAATTGAAAAATGGAAATATTGAAAATGCAAAATATTAAAATATCCAAAAATGGCTAAATCGATAAATTAAAAATTATGAAACTGAAAAATTGTAGAAATGAACAACCAAAGAGACAACAAATTGTGTAAACGAAAAATTGAAAAATCGAAAAATCGAAGAAACGAAATTGTGAAACCGAAAAATTGAAAATTCGAAAAATCATAAAATGGAAAAATCGCAAAATCAAAATTCGAGAAACAGAAAAATCGAAAATTTGAAAACACCAAAAATTAAAATAGGTGTGTAAAAACTGAAAAATCTAAAAATGGGGAAACGTAAAATCAAAAATTGAAAAATCTAAAAAT